AGAATGTTCTACATTCACAGCGAACTCTCTAGAGCAGAGATTCTCAAAATGTGCTCCTCCAGATATTTTGGACTTCAGCTCCCACAATTCCTAACAGCTGGTAAGCTGGCTGGGAATTCTGGGAGCTGAAGTCCAAAACACGTGGGGAAGCAGAGTTTGAGAGACACTGCTCTAGCGAAAGGGAGGGTTAGCTCATTGCCCAATTTCATTTGGGAAGGGTCTTTGGGGAGGCGCATTCCAAAAGTAGCTGAAAGAAAAGCAAAGACGTTGGGGCCTGATATAACCTATACAATTTAACCAGTTTCACACCAAGCATTTGAAACACTGTTGAGTTTTATGTATGTCTGAACAAAAGCAATGTTTTTCAGGCATTTAAAGCACTCCTCAGTTTCATAAATGATTACACAAAAATAGGACAGAAAAAGACAGAAACACTTTTTTAAAACCAATGAATTCCTGTTGTAGAGATTTGAAGACGTGGATCTTCAATGAATCCTTTGAGAATGTTTAGTTATCCTGTGTTATCCTGTGTAGTAGTCACACATCTTGCACTTTATCCCATGCCCTCTCTCCATTACTGCAGCTGGCACTTATTTTATTCCTATTGTTCACAGCTTGGCCATGTTTACGGCAATTTATTGCCACAGTTAGAGGACCGCAGTTTGATTGAGTCTGAGTTGATGTTTTGATATGTGCATGTGTTTTATTTTATTGTATTTTATATTGTGCTCACTGTTGTGTTTTGCTTTTAGGCACTTTGTGCGGTCTGTAAGCTGCTCCAAGTCCCTTCAGGCATATGGTGGTGGGATATAAGAATAAAGTTATTATTATTATTACACTTTATCTTTGCAGTAAACAGTTGAAATGCCCTGTGCTCTACCTTTCTTAAAATTTCCCATATTTTAACAGTTAAATTGTAAATCCCTTTACCACTCAGCAAGGCAAGAGGCACCACATTTATCTCTGGTCATTGATGCAAGATAAGAGAAAAAACTCACCAAAAAGTACTAATATTATCTAGCTTTTTACTTAATATCAAAAGTCATAATAAACTAACCAGAACAGCTTTCATGTATGCTTGATTCATTTAAAAAAATTACTGGCTTGGTTCAGAACATAAGTTTCTCTGAAATTACCGGTAGATTTGTTTAAACGTGTCAAAATTACAGGCACCAACATGTCAACTGACTATCATTTGCCAAGTGTATTTGTGGAGCTGAGATGAACAAGCATTATACAAGCATATTTCCCCTAGTGGTTTGGCAACAAACATGCAGACAAGTTTATCACATGGCATACCCAGAGGCAAGACTTCTTGGCTATTTGTCAATTTAGACCACATGGAGGAGAAAATAAGGTCATCGGGTATTAGTTTGAGTTCATGTTCCTCACTCCTACCAGCCTACAAGCACCATGGCATAGGCAAACAGCAATTAGAGGCACTAAAATATAATGGTAAGAGTTTTCCTATGATGAGACAAACAGAAGAAACATACTATTTGTGAAGTGTTTAGAACTGGGTCATAACATCCGAGATGCTTGCATTACATGCCAATGTCAATGCTTTCTATGCAACACTACTGCCACCACTGTCAAAACATCCAAACACTTACTGAAAGATCACCCACTAACATGCATGACAGGGTCAAAATCTTCAATGACTTTGGTGCAGTCAGTATCTTCCTTCCTTTTTACACTTTAAAATATGCAGCATGACAATAATAATTTAAACCTCGCTATACATTCGACTACACAGAATGATCTTAACATAGCCAGTATTGTAACACACATTCTCCAAACATATTCTTACTCCCTTCCTTAAACACATACCAAAAAATCCAGGCCTACACATAACCAAACCATCATCTTAGGATGCATCTACAATTCCAATTAATGCAGTTTAACACCGCTTTACCTACCATGACGCGACACTTAAGGAATTGTGGGAGTTTCAGTTTGGCAAGTCAACAGCACACTGTTAGAGGAGATTCCATCTGAACATTAGGAAGAACTTCCTGAATGTGAGAGCCGTTCAGCAGTGGAACTCTCTGCCCCGGAGTGTGGTGGAGGCTCCTTCTTTGGAAGCTTTTAAACAGAGGCTGGATGGCCATCTGTCAGGGGTGCTGTGAACGCAATATTCCTACTTCTTGGCAGGGGGTTGGACTGGATGGCCCATGAGGTCTCTTCCAACTCTATGATTCTATGATTCTAAGTTTAAAATCTTCCAAAACTACAACTTCCATAATTCCTTAGCATTGAGCAGTGACAGTGAAAGTAGTGGCAAACAGCATTCATTGCACAGTGCAGATTTACCCTCGGAAAGAAGAGCAAACAGTCTGTTTAGGAAATGATAGTTTGCACGCAGAAAGTCCTTGATTCAGTCCCAGCAGCTTCGGGGCAATTCTGGAGAAGACCCCAGTTTGTAATCCTGCAGCATATCTACCCCTGGGAGCAGGCAATATTAGGCTGCTAGAGCAACTAATGGCCCAACAGACAAATGAGCCTATCAAGATGAATCCTGGCCCTCCTCTCCCCTCTCCTCCTGCAGGCTACAAGGTTCACACGCCCCAGACACCAGCCAGCCAAGCTTGACCACGTGGGACGCCAATTCTATACATACACCAGTGGAAGCTTGCCACACCATTTTACCTGCAAGGCGTTACTAAGAAAACCTGTTTTTTCTTTCATGTACAAGCCCATAACAGACAAAAAATGACTGAGGCCTAATCCACCCTTTGAAGGTTCTTCATATGCAAATCCATAAGATTATAGTCTTTTCCTACCAAGACACATCTGGATAGACATATATAAACAGGAATTATCGCTTCCTCCACCCCACAAAGTGACCCCGCCCCTAGTTAAACATACCTCAGTGACATCACACACAGAAGCAATCTCTCTCTCTTGCTCTCTCTCACAAACACACACACAACTTGAAAGGCCTGCAAATTCAAAAAAATTATAGCCTCTTTCTACCAAGCCATATCTGAATAGACACAAATAGATCCAGGGAAGTCACTCCTCTATTCTGCCTTGGTCAGACCACATCTGGAATACTTTGTCCAATTCGGGGCACTGCCACTTAAAGATATTGACAAGCTGGAATGTGTCCAGAGGAGGGCGACTAAAATGATCAAGGGTCTGGAGAACAAGCCCTATGAGGAGCGGCTTCAAGAGCTGGGCATGTTTAGCCTGAAGAAGAGAAGGCTGAGAGGAGACATGATGACGGCCATGTATACCAAACACACATAAGGCCTAAAGTTTCCAGATAGGAATGATCAAAGGTCTGGAAGCCAAGGTTTATGAGGAGCAGTTTAGAGAGCTAGGAACATTTAGCTTGGAGTTAAAACAGATTGAGACCTATTAGCCATGGTGAAATATTTTAATAGATGTCACGTTGAGGTTGTTTCCTGTGGCTCTGGAGGCAAGGACCCCTTCTATACTGCCATATTATCCAGATTTTCAGAGCAGATCACCCACATTATCTGTTTTGAACTGGATTATAATCTTGATAGACATAAATAAGAAGGAATTATTGGTACCATATAATCCACTTCAAATCAGACAATCTGGATTTTATATGGCAGCATAGAAGGGGCCTAGGATACATTCAAATTGCAGAAACAGAGATCTCTCCTAAACATTAGGAAGACCCTCCTGACAGTTTCGCTCAACAGTGAAGAATTTCTCCTGGGAACATGGTGTAATCTCTTTCTCTGGAGATTTTTAAGCAAGAGCTGGACAGCCATCTGTGGGGAGTGTTCAGTTATTCCTCAAGGGCAGAATGAGATTGGACTGGGTGGTCCTTGGGGTCTCTTACAACTCTCTAAGTGGGCCTTGAAAGGCTCTACAGGTGCAAATCCACAAGATGGACAGCCTTTTCCTACCAAGTCATGACTGGATGTCTGCTGGGGTCCCTTCCAACCATAGGATTTGATGAAGGCACCTTCTCTGGAGCTTTCTGAACAGAGGCTGGATGGCCATCTGTCAGGGGTGCTTTGGCAGAATAGGTTGGACTGGATGTCTGCTGGGGTTCCTTCCAACTTTGGGATTTGATGAAAGCATCTTCTTTGGAGCTTTCTGAACAGAGGCTGGATGGGCTATCTGTCAGGGGTGCTTTGATTGGGGACTTCTAGCAGAATAGGTTGGACTGGATGTCTGCTGGAGTCCCTTCCAACTGTGGAATTTGATGAAAGCACCTTCTCTGGAGCTTTTTGAACAGAGGCTGGATGGCCATCTGTCAGGGGTGCTTTGATTGGGGCCTTCTGTCAGAATAGGTCAGACTGGATGTCTGCTGGGGTCCCTTCCAATTGTAAGATTTGATGAAGGCACCTTCTCTGGAGCTTTTTGAACAGAGGCTGGATGGCCATTTGTAAGGGGTGCTTTGATTGGGGACCTGTGGCAGAATAGGTCAAACTGGATGTCTGCTGGGGTCCCTTCCAACCGTAGGATTTGATGATGGCACCTTCTCTGGAGCTTTCTGAACAGAGGCTGGACGGCCATCTGTCAGGGGTGCTTTGATTGGGGACTTTGGCTGGGCTGGATGTCTGTTGGGGTCCCTTCCAACTTTGGGATTTGAGAAATCTCTTTTTCTGGAAGTGTTTAAAGAGAGGCTGGATGGCTATCTGTCGGGAGTGCTTTGATTGGGCCTTCGTGGCAGAACAGAGTTGGACTGGATAGCCTTCCAACTCTGGGATGTGATGAAGTGTCCTTCTGTGGAGGTCTTTAAACAGAGGCAGGGTGGTTATCAGTCAGGGCTGCTATGATTGGGGCCTTCCTGGAGGGATGGGGGTCAGACTAGATGGCCTTTGGGGGTTCTCCTCCTACTGTGGGATTGGAAAGCAGGCCTGACGGGGCGTTAGAGCTGGGAATTCGTGGAACCGCAGCCTTCAGCCAGGCCTTCCCGCTTCCCCTCGTCAGGCACGGCCCTCCAGGAGGGTTGTGGCCGAGCCGAGGCCCCTTTCCTCCTTCTCTACTACCTTTCCCAGGCCGCCGGTTACCTGCCAGGTCCTGCTGGAGCCGCGGCGGCTCTCCCCGCTGCCCGCGCCGCGCCGCGTCCCCTTCCGCCATCTTGTCCAGGTTTAAAATTAACTCCCCGTGACGTCAAACGCCGCCGCCGCGAGCCCTTTATCGGCGCGCGCGCGAGCCAGCGCGAGCTCGAGCTCGAGCGCGAGAAAGAGAGGCGGGTCGGAGGGAAGGGAGTGAGTGAGTGGGAAGGAGAGAAGGATGGAAGGAAGGGAGGGTCCTAGCGCCCAACGGTTTCCCTGGCGTTCCGACGCTAGTACGCATGCGCAATAGCCTCGAGCGCTTTTTCCCGCGCGTTTGGGTTTTTGTATTCTCACTCCCCCCCCCCCACGTGACCGACTCTGAATAGTGGGTTGCTGTACGGCCAGAAGCATTCTCTCCTGACGTTTTGCCCATATCTATGGCAGGCATCCTTAGAGTTGAGAGGTCTGTTGGAAACTAGGCAGTGAGATGTGTATATATATATATATATATATATATATATACACACACATACATACATACAAATTTAAGAAGAATTCAGGTAAATCGACAAAATGGACAAATTGGAATCTCAGGAATATAAGTCAAGCAGAAGAATGTAAAAATAAAATAAGGGGAATAGACACACACACACACAAATCAGGACAGTAAATAAAGAATAACACTCAGAAAGCAGGGGAATTCCAGACAGGAAACAATCAAGGCCAGCTAACACCTCCCAACAAAGGATTCTCCAGGTAGGAAGCAGCTGGGCTTTGAAGCTGCAAGGCTATTCAGTGCTAATCAAGGTGGCCAATTGCAACATTCACACTTGTTGGAAACAGCAAGTGAGTGTGTGTGTGTATATATATATATATATTCACACTTGTTGGAAACTAGGCAAGTGAGGTGTATATATATGTAGTCGGCCACCTTGATTAGCACTGAATGCCATCGCAGCTTCAAAGCCTGGCTACCAGTATTAAAATCTCTAAAATCAGGACAGTAAATAAAGACAGGAAACAATCAGGGCCAGCTAACACCTCCCAACAAAGGATTCCCCAGGTAGGAAGCAGCTGGGCTTTGAAGCTGCAAGGCTATTCAATGCTAATCAAGGTGGCCAATTGCAACATTCACACTTGTCTCCAACAGACAAGAGTTCTTTCTGTAACCCTGGATGTATATGTATATGTATACACCTCACTTGCCTAGTTTTCAACAAGTGTGAATATACACACACACACACACACACACCTCACTTGCCTAGTTTCCAACAAGTGTGAATGTTGCAATTGGCCGCCTTGATTAGCATTGAATAACCTTGCAGCTTCAAAGCCCAGATGCTTCCTACCTGGGTAATCCTTTGTTGGGATGTATTAGCTGGCCCTGATTGTTTCCTGTCTGGAATTCCCCTGTTTTCTGAGTGTTGTTCTTTATTTACTGTCCTGATTTTAGAGATTTTAATACTAGTAGCCAGGCTTTGAAGCTGCGATGGTGATGTCGAGCACCCCCCCCCCCAAAAATAAGGGATAGTGACTTATAGTTCTGCAAAGGGCAAGGGCACCAGACTACACAACAAGGGTTAAGTCTTGGTCACATTGCCAAGGCACTGACAACAACAAGGACCCCACGAGGCTTTTGGGAAATGGCTGGATCTTGGGACTTCTGCCCTTTGTGAGAGTTGTAGTTTCCAAAAGCGTGAATCAGTTGCAGCACAGCTGGGGTTTCATCTGCCAGCCTTCCCAATGATCATGGACTCTCTGCCTGCATGTCTTGGACTTCAGTACATACTATCTCCCTCATGAACTTTCCTCAAAGACCTTTTAAAACATTGGACTTCAGGATTCTTCATGAAAATTAATCCTCTTACTAAATATACTTGGAATGTGGGACAAAGATGGGGTTTTGTTGCTATGAAACGCTTATGATTATGAATGTATGTATCTTGCTATGAAATATTGCCTTTCCCCTTTGCCTTTTGCCCTAGAAAATGTGACCCAGGACTGTTGAAATGCTTGAGGGAGAACCACCACCTCCCTTTCTTATTTGATTATTTCACCTCTGCATGGACAATAGCAAGCTGAAACTTCCTCTTGTTTGCTTTGTCTGGCAGGCAAGGAAGTTTATCTGGATACTTTGATTGAATCACAAAGGGCAGGGTTGATCCCCCCCTCCCAGGTCCTCTGCCCCGATCCTGTTTGTTTTCCTTCACCAAAACCCATCAAGGGCAGGAAAACCTTTCTTAATGAAATCAACCTTTGCTGGACAAAACAATGCCCCTCTTCCGTCCTGCCTCCCTCTCCCTGATTTGCTAAGGAGCCAAAGAGGGAGGGAGTTTTGAAACTTTCAAACCTGTATTTTCTCTATAAAAATGCCAGTAAATTCTGTATTGCTATGCTTGTAGTGGAACTATTCCTACAATGCATCCGATCTCAGCTGAATCGCTAATAAAGACACCTCGGTCCCAGCTTCTTCCGCTTTGGTGAGGATTTATTATTTTTAATATTTTATCGCTGAAATTGGCTTTGCTGGCCTCACCAAGGTTCCAGGACTCTCTTTGGTGCGGTCCTCAGGGATCTCCTCGGCTGGGGAGACCCTCCTAAAAGCAGCTCGATATCACCAGGACTGTATAAGGAAGCGTTTCTAACATGCACACTTGCCTCAAACAGACAAGGGTTTTTTCTCCCACTCTGGACATTCCACAGATATATAAATCCCACTTGCCTAGTTTCCAACAGACCTCACAACCTCTGAGGATGCCTGCCATAGATGTGGGTGAACATGGCTATATAGTGTGAATGTTGCAAATGGCCACCTTGATTAGAATTTAATGGCCTTGCAGCTTCAAAGCCTGGCTGGTTCCTGAGTTACGCTAATCCCACAAACAAACATTACATTTTTTATTTATATAGATGACAATTAAAGTGCCTTCTAACAATTCCAAGTAAATCCTAGCTAGGCTCAAAGAACCATTTTTTTTCTTTGTAAGAGGTCTGTAAATGTTTGCTTTTAAAAAATTAAGATCAAAATTAAGATTAAAAAAGAGAGAGAGAGATTACTGGAGGAAACAACATTCCAAAATAAGTGTGCTCTTTGTTTAAATGCATTATTTAAAAAATAAATTGTCCCATGTCACTTAGATAAATTGTCCAAAACTTTCTGCCTGACCACTCGTTTATACTACTAGTCTCATCTTCATAATCTTGGCAGTGGCCCAAAACGTGTAATGCTCATTCATTAATTCCTGGGGCTTTGTTGGTCCTCTAATATCATGCAGTTCATGGGTGGGATCCAATGCAAACTCTCTCTGAAAGGAAAGAGAGCAACGCAGGAGAGGTCATTCTGTGACCACAACTCTCATCCCATGAATAGAAGTTCCAGACTTTCAGGAAACAATTATGCTGGATCCCACCCAAAAAGGGTTTTTTTTCAGCTTCCAGTAGATTTTATGCCAATTTCCGACCATTGTAACCATATTCATAAAATAATACACACATAATCCTTGGATCACTTGCTAAATTTATTTCCATTATCCTGGTTATGAGTACGTATTCCAAGTACGTATTCCAGAAATACAGCAACAATGATGGGATAAAGCCAAGCTCAAACTAGCAATCCCTTAGGAATCTCATTTCAATCAAAGAAAAAAGTATTGGCTACATCTTTTTTGAACTCGACAATAAATATCTAACAAAAAAACCCAGATTTTTTTCCATTTTACATTAGCCTGAATGCTTTAATGAAATGCTAGAATGAGAAGCCTGAGGTTGATTAATATGATTTTGCTAGAACATGAAGTTACCAATAAGTAGGCTGTTCAGTCTAAAGCTAAAGGTAAAGGTAAAGATTTCCCCTTGACATTAAGTCCAATCGTTTCTGACTCTGAGGGGTGGTGCTCATCTCCATTTCTAAGCCGAAGAGCTGGCGTTGTCCATAGATGCCTCCAAGGTAATGTGGCCGGCATGACTGCATGGTGCACCTTTACCTTCCCGCCAAAGTGGCACCTATTGATCTACTCACATTTTAATGTTTTCGAAATGCTAGGTTGGCAGAAGCTGGGCCTAACAGCAGGAGCTCACTCTGCCCCTCCAAGTCGAACAGTTTCAACAGCTCAGTGGTTTAACCCATTGTGCCGCTGGGTGCTCCCTTTCTTGTTATGTGCCTTCAAATCACCTTCAGTTTACAGTGAGTCTAGGCTAAGGTTTTCCTTACAAGATTTATTTAGAGGAGGTTTGCTTTTGCCTTATTTTATTTATTTATTTATTTGCCAAATTTGTATACCGCCCTTCTCAGCCCGAAGGCGACTCAGGGCGGTTCACAGTTGGCAATATTTGATGCCTCAACAAATAAAACAATCATAAAATATTGTTTAAAATATTTGTACAAAATATAAAAACCGTACAAAGCCATGAGTGTCTCCTTGTTAAAATCGTTATTCAATTGCATCATCAGGTTGTTCCATTATTTTGTATAATTATGCTGGATTAGCAAAAGCCTGCTCAAACAGCCAGGTTTTAGCCCTTCAGGAGGGAGGGGGCCACCCTTATATCCCTGGGAAGGGCTTTCCACAGTCAAGGAACCACCACTGAGAAGGCCCTGTCTCTCATCCTTCCTCTAAGGCTGACAGACTCGTCCAAGATCATCCAGTGCATTTACATGGCACCCAGTTTTCTGTGTGCCTTCCAAGTCGCCCAGTTTTCTGTGTGCCCAGGGGGGAGTCTCTCATTGGGTATCAGCCATTGATTGAGGCTCTGGGTTTGAACCTGCCACTTTTGGACTCTCGCTTGCTGAGGTGTTCCAGCGAATGTCTCTGTAGATCTTAGAAAACTATTTCTTGATTTAAGTCGTTGACATGCTGGCTGATGCCCAAACAAGGGATGAGCTGGAAATGTCACTGCGTTGGTCCTTTCACTATTGGCTGCTACTTCCCGGCGGATGTCAGGTGGTGCAATACTGGCAAAGCAGTGTAATTTCTCCAGTGGTGTAGGGCGCACACACCCCGTGATAATGCGGCATGTCTCATTAAGAGCCACATCCACTGTTTTACTGTGGTGAGGTCCAATACCCAGTATGCTCTGCTACTTCAATGGCCAAATAAGACATGAACTGGTTTTGAAAACAACAGGAATAGAGGTGTATTGCTCTCAGGCCTG